ACTCGCACTGCCGGCCGCCTACTTCCCTGTTTGTCAGGCCTTGTCTGATCTCCTTTGCTGCCCCACCCTTCACCAGCGACATGTCACTGCCCAAGATGGCTTGGTCCTCGTCTTGTCTGTTTGCGTTGCATTTCACAAATTCGATGATCTTCTTCTGCCCGGCCTAGGGGTGGGCGTTCGCAGATGCGAGGGCGGGAACGCACTTGGAAGGGATCTCGCATCCCCAACATGGCCTTCAACCAACGGGGGGGCTTGATGGGCGACAATCGGCCTGCCGTGAACCAAACACTAACATGCGAGACAGGCTCGACCGCGGTCTAACAGGATCTCCAATGCGTGGAGCTGTGCGCGTCTTATGCAATACGGATCAAGTGTGATCGTTGCAGGCCGCCCGTCGGCAAATCATCGACGACCCCCCTCCTCCAACTCGCGACAGTATGCAGCTTGACAACACCCTCCCGCGGAGTTTTCATATGGTCTCGCCGCAGAACCCCGTGGCACCCATGCTTTGGACTCCACAGCCCTGGATATTCTATCAGCCACAGGCCATAACAACGACCAATCTATTGCTCATAGTTCTCGTATTAAGGGTGCACTCATGGTCACTTTTCTTCCGCGTGACTTGGCGGATGTCGACACCACAACGTCTGTGGTCTGATCCCAGGCACCCCGTTTGTAAGTGTTATGGGATTTTATGCCCCAGTTCTTCTTCCCCATAGCCAGAGCCTTCTCCATGATACCTAGTCTTCATGCAGGTCTGCCCTGGTCCCGCTTCGAATGCCAACCGGGCTATCCTTCTTTGGCATGACGTTGGCTCTCTGGCACAGGTGGCGTCTCGGGAGACCTGCTTCCCCAGATTTTCTTTGTTCCCACCGCAGCCTCTTGCATACGCCACAGGCCCAGTTTCGTCGCGTCCGCTCCAACTCGGCCTGGGCTCAGCTCGTATGCCTGATCACCAGGTCGCCAGGGCTGCCCACCATGAGTCCGGGAAGGTGAGGAGAGCAGTGGGTTTGGACGACGTTGGAGGAACAGCCTGTGTCTTCTCCGAGGAATATGACAGTCGCCATCCGCCGGGCTTGCCGGCCAGGAAAGGATTCCATTGCGAACACCCATCTTTCACAGACCTTGCGATTCTTTTGGAGTTGGTCCCTCACGACGACGACAGCTGTCAGCTCAAGTTCCCTTCGGGAACACGCCAATAAGGATCCCGCAGGAGCCTCATCTGTCATATCTGTTTGTTCTCTGCGAGGACACCCTCACGGGTTCACCCTGCCTGAGATGCTGCCCCACTCACACTGATTCTGATGTCTGCCTTGGCGGGACGGTTCACAACCGGGACATGGTATATCCACTCCCACAGCGTTGCGGCGGCCTGGAGTCTGGCCTACCTACTTCACTTTTCTCGACTGGATCTGCGATCAAGGCGCGGAAACACGCTCAAGCCTCTAGTGACATACGGCTTCCTGTCGCTCTTGACTCAGCGGTAGCGCCAGTGCGAACCTATGCCGTCTGATACCAATCCAGTTATGTCGGGCGTTGCTGTTGCACACGGGGAGAAACAATTCAAACAGACTGCGATGTCTCACGGGGCCTCCCGGTGGTACCAACTTCCAAGGCTACCTAGGCAACTAGGTAGGTAGGCTCGATAGTTTTGTCAACTGACAAATCAGCAGCTAGCTCCCGGTCAGAACAAGTTGAGAATTTCTTGCTTGGGTTGGGCGTTTTGAAACTTACCTTGGTTCAGCCCCACACATCTCTTGGTATTATTCATAGGTAGGCATAAACCATGAAGCCTATACCCTGAGCAGAGATATGTCTGGCTAAAGGGAGCGGCATTCGCCGTCACGGTTTATGGAGGGCGCGGAGGACACATTACCTTACCTCAGCAACTCAGGTTGATGGAAGACTCCCCCGCACACCCACACCCACTGTCAACAACCGAATACGACCATACCTTTTGGATATCCTGCGTGAACTGAGGGTGAGACTTGGAGCAGGCGAAACAAGTTAAAACAAGGTCCAGAGGCAACAAAGGAGGTCGGGTGAGGTCGGGTGAGAGATGTGTGGGTGCCGTCGTATATACGGAGCCGCTCCGTCGCCGTTTTCACATGCGGCTTCGTGCGTTTCCTCCGTGTTTTTTGCTTGGTTACAAGTCCGTCATGTGCCTGCTGCTGCTGCTGCTAAACATAGGAGGGCGGGAGAGGGGGGGGGGGGGGGGAGGTTGGCAAGTCTCCGTCCCGGTTTCTTCCCGTTTCTGGTTTCTGTTTTGGGGGGGAACCTAGGGTAAGGTAGGGTAGGAGTTTGGAATTTATTTGTTATGTATAGGTATACTACGGATGTATATACGCCCTGCGGTGAGCGTGCAACACACACTCACTGCAATGAACGGAGACGGGGCGGGTCGGTCGGGTGTTGGGGTCAAGTGGTCGGTTTGGAGCGTGGGGGTGCAATTGCGATGCGATGCGTGTGTGGACCGCTGCCGTGCCGTTTCAAGCCGTCTCGAGCGTCTTCTTGGGATATATTGTTTTTTTGTTTGCTGCTACCTTGGTTACTTACCTACCTACCTACCTACCTTGCGAGTTGCCTTGTACCTTTCACTGTGGGTTGCGTTCGCCCTGTTTTTTCGTTGGTACGAGCATTTCGGTGTTGAGATGTTGACTTCTCAGGAGAATGGCGTGGATCCGAGACGGTGGCGATATCGCCGAACGGAGGAGATTGTTTGTTCCCCTTGACCCTGAAGGGGGCAAGGGGGATTGTTATTTGTTTTGTCTTTTTTTGCCACCGACGAATGTCTCGTGCTGTCTCTCGCTATTTTGTGCTTGCCGGATCTCCGAGTTCGATCCGTCCGAGCGTTAGGCTCGCGGTATCATCGGCGCTACTCCAGTCATCAGGCTCCGGCGGCGCGCTGAGGTCTCATGCAGGCGGGATTCAACGCCCGTGTATCTGGTATTTTGGGTGCAAACATGGATAGCGGTTCATCCAGGTAGAGAAGTGTTCGGTTCTGTGTAGGACTTGGCACTTTGGTAGTCTGTTCCTGGTCAAACTGCAAAGATGGATGTTGTTCGGTCGAGTCTCTTACTAACACGCATTACACTGACAAGACAGGCGGACTTGAGGGTTTAATATGGACATATCCCTAGGTAGGTAAGTACTCAGTGGACCACCTGCAAAACGATGTCACCCCGCCGCAAGCCGCCTGCAACATGCTGTGCACCTACTATCTGTAAATACTCCACAGCATATGCAGCAGCATGTTTTGCACCGGGCAGATAGATGTTTGGGTCACTACCGGCTGGCTGTGTGATATCTCACTTGGTACAATACAAACAACTACCGTGCCGAGGATGGCGAGCGCGCCATTCTTGTTTTACTGATATGTCAGACTGTGTAATGTGAGGGATACCCATCTTAACCCTACGATGTGATCAGGATGGATTCCTGTTTTGAACGGGAACTCGTATTTGGGCCTGCAAGGGATGGTGATGCTGCATGCGATGTAGGTGGACGCATCCGGTATGTCCAACTGGGGGAATTTCTGCTCGGGACTTTAGGATTCTTGTTTTTGAGAACTTGGCGAGGATCGAGGTGGTGTATTTACGTGCCCACGGTTTCGACGGCAGCCTAACGTCAAAGCATGGATGTTTAGGGGAGGGAGGGGGAGATTGGAACCTCTAATACGGGCGATGGCTCGCAACAAGTTAAGAAAGTCTTCAAGTTCTGCCCGCGGCAGCAAGTAGTCGGGTGAAGTTACGCGTCGGCCACGCGTCGCGTCTCGGGGGGTTATGGTCGAGGTGTGGAATCGGTTGGCGAGGAAGGGGGCTGTGCCAGGGGCGGGGGAATGTCGTACGGCTGCGGGCATCCAGAATGAGGAATTGACAGGACCCAAATACTCGGGACTTTTTGTGCTACCCTTCGAAATCGTAATGCTTTTCTAATTGCTTATTGATGCACGAGATGACGTTGTGTCGCCGCGTGGCCCCCGGCGGGATGGACGCTTCGGCCCGGGCATTGCGCGGTCGGCCGGGAACGGTCCGTGAATCGGGTTTGCTCCGGCTCGCCTGAAGCGTCCTGTGATCTTGACTCCGTCCTCGAGTAAACGGAGTATCGTAATGCATTGGGGATGGGGTTGGTCATCAATACTTGTGGATATTTACATGAGAAGCTTCTCGCTGCCGATGAGCGAGGCTTCTCCGATGGGATGTACATCGAGCCTGTACTGAGTAGTATCTGAGAATTTGCAGTCCGCTCCGGACTATGCCAGTTGGTAAACCGCTTCCAAATAATAAAACGGTTATAAAAAGTGTAATTTAGCTTCCAAGGTGAATGTTTCTGGCCAGAATGCGTCTCTGCTTGTGCAACCGCGCTTGGGCTGCAAAGGGGGGAATAACACTGCTCATCTTCAACAAAGGCATCGGCCCTCTGGCGCAACGTACGTTTCATTCAACTTCTCTCCAGCTGAATCTTCGCTAACAACTTCAAACAGGGTAGCGCGTTCGACTCCAGATCGAAAGGTTATCCGTTCAAATCGGGTGGGGGTCAAGTTTCATTTTTTGCTCGGTGGATCTTCTTTCGTTCAGGCTCTCAGAGTTCTTTTTGGTCCGTCGATATCTTGTTTCTTTGGAATTGTGAGGCGATATGGTTTGATATACATGCTTGCCACCGTGGTCTTTTCATGCCTAGGTTCAGCATCAAAGACTTCCTTGCGACGAGCACGATGGCCCACTAGTGATGGACACTGCATCATCGCGACACATGGGCTGTCGAAATGCTGAAGACTTGGATTGGAAACATGTCTATCTACTCACCGGGCTAACGTGCTCGACCAGACGACATCACACGAACAGATACTATCACAGACTACACCCGGGGGCACTCGGGTGTGTGGATATTTACCGACGCAACACTCCTGGACATGTAGATTGTAAGTGCATTTTTCTCGGGAAACCCACAGCATCGCGTTGATTAAACATTCTACACCGTCCCTGTGCATAGACAAGATAGGGTGTCTAGTATAGTGGTCAGTACACTTCGTTGTGGTTTACACAGTTTCCGAAGAAACCCAGGTTCGATTCCTGGGACGCCCAATTCTATTTTGGACTATTTTTTGGATCCTGTCTTTCTCGGAAACGACCGGCTGGTGAGTAGGAACTCGCGATGTGCTACAGACGGACACTTAAACCTTGATCTACAATGACCTTTTATTGTACACAAGAAAGAAACCTTTTGTAGGAACCCCTTTTTTGCTTCCCGACACGGAAGTCTCAATTCCCAAGATTGCGGGTCACAATATAGCAAGGAAGCCCTGGCACAGCATCAACCTTCGCAATCAACAAGGTATCGCGTTTCATATAACTGCTTGTGCTACTTAATTGACTCGTTCGCGGCTGGAGCCGTTCAACCTTGGCTTTCCTGAACACGTACAGTCCATTCACCAACTGCAGAACGCATGTGTTGGCCTCAAGTGTTCAAGATGCTGGCAGTTCTGGGCTTGTGGTGGCTTTTCATGCCACGGATCCGTACAAGCGTAGGAGATAGGGAACTCCTGTGACGGCTGGCGCAGCCGAACCACACCCAATTGAGCCAACCTTCCAAAAGGATTGACAGAATTCTAAGGTCAGCACCTTAGAACCCCAACTGTGGTTATATGCCAGCACGATCTGGGCCTGGACCCAGGATCGTGACTCCTCCGCCGGGCAACTTCCGTTAGGTTGAGAATTGACCCCTTTAGTCTTCGTAGTTGCAGGCAGCTGGCAAATCACTTACCGGCAACCAAAGGGATGCCAACAGGCTTTTGGCAAGCTCGCTTGCGTTTCCCCGTACTCCATCAGTCTACATGTTCCAGATCCTCTCCGGTTCACCTGGCAATATCATATTCGACAAGTCGGCATCCTAACTAGGAATATCCAAAAATATTCTAGTGAGTCGTGCAGTGGGCAGAGCCTTGTGCAGGTGTTGTATGAATCATGACAGCTGCGGTCAGGGGTAACGGGATCACGGCTCCGTGTTTCAGGTCTCAGCCGCAGGGGTGCACCCAGGACTTCCTTCTACCTCGCAGCATTCCTCCACAGATTCACTTATCATTCAACCGAAATCACCACCTAATCCATGGCGACTTACCAATATGCGAATCTTGAAAGCGGCCAGATAAGGCTTCTAGAACTCCTTCCGGGCGTTGACAACGACCCGCTCCAGGGAAATTTGCGAGTCGTGCAACTCAGTCACCAACAGTTCGGGCCAGATACAGAGAAGGAAACCATTTCCTTTGAGGCGCTATCCTATGTATGGGGGAGTGACTCCAAACCGTTCACCCTGCAGACCCCGACAGGCTCTATCCCTCTGACCGAGTCTCTTTATGGTTTCTTGGCGAGGCTCAGGCGAGAGATTGACAGCAACAAAACACGACTTCTGTGGGCAGATGGGGTCTGCATCGACCAGGATAGCACCCTCGAAAAGGAAGTCCAAGTACGCCTGATGCCGTCGATTTACAGCACCGCTAGCCACGTCCTTGCTGATCTTGGAGAATGGGACCCTGACGCTGAGACCGCAATCGGGATGATCGACCTCTATTGGCGACATAGCATCTGGGCAGGAGGGGATGCCGAAGCTTACGGGAGGACCATGACTCCCGAAGAAATGGCCATATTGCTGTGCATCCCCCTGGATGAGCTCAAAAGGCCCGGAGACGATGAGACGTTGCCCGATCAATCCGACGAGCGGTGGGAGACGGCGCGTCAATTCTTCTCAAGGGGCTGGTTTTCCCGACTTTGGGTGGTCCAGGAGTTTGTCCTTGCTCGGGAGATTACCTTCTACTGCGGGCAGCATCATATTGCCTGGCGACACTTATTTGCTGGCTGTCAAGAATACGGACGAGACTCGAAAGTCTCACTGCTGGGATCCGGTTCTCCAAACCTGGGCGAATTTTCAAGCTCAGGCGCCGTGCTGTTTTCTGCCATGGCGTGGTTCCGAAGCTTTCGGCTGCTCAGGCGTTCCCCCCCAGGCGCACAACTTCTCGACGATATCTGCAGCAGAAGCAAAGCGTGGACTCAATTCACCAAATCCAACCTCGTGGACCTGCTTCAGTTATTTCGGCACTCCAGGTGCAAACTTCCGCAAGATCGTTACCATGCCCTCACCCAGCTTTCCTCCGATTTCTGCGAAGGCGGTGTTCCAGGTCCAGCCCCAGACTATAGCCCGGAAATTACCGAAATTGTGCTCAGGTGGGGGCGATTCCTCATCCAACAACCAGGCGGCGAGAACATGTTGCAGCGGGCAGGGCTCTGGGCAGCACAGGACTCGGCGATACCGACGTGGATGCAGGACTTTGCAAACTCCAAAGCCACCATCCTGGAGCTTTCACTTCAGGAAAGCACCTTCAAAGCTGCAGGCGACACTGAATTCGAGGTCTCGTTATGCTCCGAGTCCCCCAATTTCATAACGCTAAAGGGATGGAGACTGGACGAGGTGGTTGATATCACACGGGGTCTGGATACAACTTTTGACGGAACACGCGAACGGTTCATCATCGATTATGTCAAAGCGGGTTGTGAAGTTTGGGCCAGAGCCAAAGATCGCTACCCTAAAGCTTATCCGGACAACCTTGTCGCGAGCATGGCCCCTGTAGAGGCGATGTGCGCAAATACCAACCGGGGCCCACCACTGTGGAAGCTCCTGGTAGGGTATTGGTATGTTGCCATTTACTCGTGCATGCCCGAGGAGACACGGACCTGGGAGCAAGCCGCGACCAAACTTGGACAGCTGGAGTGGTTCCGCGGCCTGGATTGTACCCACGAGGAGCTAATGGAAGGGCTTCAGGGGTTCATTTCTGGGATGTGCATTCCAATGATGCAGGGGCTACGACCGGCAACGACACAGGGTGGTTACTTTGCAAACGCACCGTCCATTACGGTGTTGGGGGATGAGATTTGGATCATTAAAGGCTGTCGACTACCCATGGTGTTTCGCAAGAGCCGAGAGCATCCGGGCATGTATCAGCTTGTGGGGAGTTGCTACTGCTATGGAGTGATGGCTGGTCAGATGCTAGAAAAGGAAGGGTTCAAGTTCGAGGATATCATAGTTCATTAACATGAAGGGTACCTAGGTGCCTCGAATAAGGTTTGCAGTAATTGACGTCTCCGTTTCGGATCTTGACTGTTTGCCATTCTGAGACGAGAAATACTGCACAATCACCTCGAAGCAAGAAACCTGAAATACCGTCCGACGCGTCCCCCAATCCACTCATAACGGGGTCACCACCACGTAGTTGAAATCGTATCTGCCAGGCATGGTCATACAACTCCCGGAGTTGCTCCTCAGCTCACCTGCCACCAACATAGTACCCTGCGCAAGAAGCTGAAATGGTAACAAACCACCTAGCCACTTCCCTAGGTCGACAGTATGCAGTAACCAAACTAGAATATACAAAGCAGGTATACATCCAAGTATTCGTGATTCATGATGCCTTGCTAATCTGATACCCCGACAACGCCAACACAAAAAGCAGCGCCAGCGACGTGAACCCAACCGCAACCCAGCCCACAGGACCAGCATACGCCACCAAGCTGAGCGAGAGAAACAAAAACGCCACAGCCGACAACAGATACAACACCACCGACGCCGCGAGCCCGAACCGGTCCCAGGCCCTGCCCCAGTCCTTATCCACGACCCCGCCGACGCTCTGCCGGCTCAGCGACAGCAGGCTGGACGAATACCCCGCGACGGCGAGCGAGAGCACAAAACAGAGCCAGGCGATGCCCAGGAACGTGCGCACCGTGGCGAGACTGAACGGCGGCGGGTCGGGCTTCCAGATGTCGACGGGGTCGGCCATCTGGCCGGCGATGATGGCAAAGGTCGACGCGCCGAAGATGGAGATGCTGAAGATGAAGGAGATGAAGCGCTCGAAGTCTTCGACCGACTGCTGCACGAGCGGGTCCGACTGGCGCGTTATCGGGTGCGGCCGGAGGGGAGGTTGTTGCGCCGCCGCGGCGAGGGGGTTGTTGTTGACCGCGGCGGGGGCGGGAGCTGTTGAATTTGATGCGATTGAAGGCGCGGCTGACATGGTGATTGATGATGGTTGGATCTGGATGTTAACGGTAATGAAGTTATGAACTGGGATGGTGGTAGGTGAATATGGCAGTTATCCTGCGTATCAACGATTTAAGCCAACTGACGTTCTTGGTGGAAAATTCTGCGATGGCGGTGAGTTCTCGGAGCTGAAGCTCGTGCTGAACAAAGAAGAGTTTGTTGAGAGCATGGCGGAGGACACAGCCAATCACGATTGCAGCTCTGCCGCCGACTTCATGCAGATACGGAATACATTATTCACGTTGACTACGACTTCACTGAGACCTGTCTTGAGCTTGCTACGTAGGCGTTATATTCTGTATAGTTGTAGATTAACAACTTGTTGTCTAAAAAAGGGCACTGACTGACGTTGGAAGAAGGTTATCGATTTCTCTGCATCCCACAGTTGGTGCTAGGAGCGATAAGGGCCTTCCCAATCCCCAGCTGTGACATGACATGTATGTTGCCCGGTTTGTGTGGGCTGTTCGATACGTGTGTCGCTCGATTGGTTCTTGTTCTGTCGGTGGCGCCTTCGAAGCCAATGTCCTCCTCGACAGATCCAAGTTACCTCTCAATGGTCCGTTTCTCCCCGGATTTTCCCCGTGCATCCCAAAAATGGCTTAGCACTCAAATTCGTCGTCAGTTCCTGCCAGGCTCTCAAGACTTCCCCGCCCGCCCGCTCAGCTGCGCCGTCGCGTTGCTCTATCTTCGTCGTGACAGAGGATTTTGACACTCTCCCACGCCCGCACTGGTATCAACACGTCCCGCTCGCTGGCCCGAGCTGTGCCTTGGTGCCTTCGCAATGCGGATCTTGGCCCTTGCATCGTTACTTGCACTTCTTGCGACGAATCCTTGCCCAAACTCAACACCGCCAACGACTGGTCGTGCGTCACTCGGTCGGAGAGAATCACTCTCGTGCGAAAATCACCGCACACACCTCGCCCATGCTCAGGACACATATACCTCAAATGGAACTGATGGCGAGGATTACAAGCTTCACCTGCTCGTCGACCCCGAAGATGCG